CCGTATTCCGTAGAATAGCTCAGTAGATAGAGCACTGCTGTGTGTCTAACTGCGATTATCAATCACGTCTTGATAGCTTTCTCCCCAATTCAAATATATGATCTTTCATATATTCACTTGTAAACATTTTAGTTATAGTAAAATATTAAACCATGAAACGATATCGATTCGCACTTGAATTTTAGAAAAAAAAATAAAACTTTCTGTAACTGCTTTTCCGGCAGAACTGATTCAATGGACCAAGATTTAAAAAGAAAACTTTCAAAACACTTGGCTTATCATTGTAACTGTTTGAGACGAAAACAATAATCACAAATTAGAGCGGAATGACAAAGGCTTTCCGTCAAGTTTGCCTACTTTTACCACCATCAAATTTTAAATTTTTGTTTTTCGAGTGGGCGGTTGAAGGATGTTGCTTTGCTGATAAAAATTCACCTCATTTTTAATTCTGTGTATTAGAATCACAACTTCTTTTCAAAAGGACACCTGTTCTGAGATAGACAATGCACTGTAATTTGTTTGAAGTTCGCTGCCGTCGCTGTACAGGAATATTATTTGCCAATTTCGAATGAAAACTCCACGTAATTCCAAGATGAATGAAGAGCGATATCATTTTATGTTTTACTTTAATTGGCTCATTTGCTAATGATTGACAAACAATCGCTCTCGTACTTTAAGCGTCCAAACCACAAGTTTGGTTTATGTTAATTTGCACTTACCAAAGCCATGTTTTCGTCCTTCTGGACGAAAGTAAAGTCCAACAAGCACAAAACGCAAGGTAGGCAATGCCACTCAATATTTTTCCTTCTTAGAAATAGGAGGTACAAAAGTTAGCAGCTCATTTCGATTTTTCTGTGCCAACTCGCATTTGGGAAATAATTTATTTTTTACAGATCAGAGCCTTCGACAATGACGACGAGACTGGATTTTATTTTGACTTCTTTTTTCAGTTTCTTGGATCGTCTCTTCAGTCGTGTAGCCCAGTAGTGTTGTCTTTGCTCGTTCTGTTCAGAAACCAAAATTTTGTCTTGAGAAATTGAACAACTCAATGAAGACACAAGGTGTTTTTGCACTGAAAATTCAGATATAGTCTTCAGTGGTTTTCAATAAGCTAAAATTTCAATCCTATCTTATGATAGTTTGAGCTAACCAGCTTTATTTTAGTTCTGGAATTTTCCAGTCCCAACTCGTGAATGGACCAAGACGGAAGTCTACTTTTTTAAAACAAAATTCTTTTCCCAAAATTTGATCAATTATCTGGCGTTATGTTTAGATAGTCTAGTTGCGTGTGGACTAAAAAGGTGTAGATTATAGCATTATCGAATTTAAGATTATCAGCGAAAAGTGGTAGTCTTGTCATTTTTTGACGTAGTACCGACTCGTTTTACGTCTCTACGTAGATAAGAAATTAAGGATGTTTTAAAGTTTAAGATTCCGCTCCATGTGACGTAATGATAACATCAAACCATATATCCCACAGACACAAACCAGAACCTACTTTGTGTTCTGTAAATGTTTTTAATTGCAGTCATTTATTTACACTATAAAGGGCATTTACATACATTTCATAAGGTTAAGTAATAAAAACAGTAAAATATTAAGAAATATTAAGCCGTAAAGAAATAAAATTTATTTATGAACGGTGACCAAAGAAGCAAGAGCTTTCTAGTTGGACACCGCCATAGTCAAGAATGATAAAAAATTAAGAATTTAGTTAAGCCTGAGACCTACATACACTTCATTACGACAAACAGACACTACACTCACACTTACATAGCGACAAAATCAAGTTGAGTAGCATTTGCTTTCGCTGGTAGAAATTAAAAACGATTCAGATTTGGTAGCTTATTAAAGTAGATGAAAACTTCGATTAATCCACCACCAATGTCGGAATAATTAGTGAGACGTATGACATTAGTTAATTTTGGTGATCACTTGTTGTCATACAAGATCTTCACTGCTTTCGACCGGATTCTAGGTAAAGCGCTGAAAATTAGAATAAACTATCTATTTTTGTCACACTCTATTGCAAGAATGACGAGTGATTTTGAAAAAAAAATTGTCAAGCCCTCTAGAAAAAGCCTGTATTTCGATGAAACTCCAATAGTGATTTATCAAAGCCATAAACATAATAAAAGAAAAAAATGAAAACAAGCACTTAGATCCACAAAGAACACGAAAGATATTTCACCATAAATATGTAGCTTTGAAGTATAAAGTAAAATAATTGATTAAAACAATTTAGGAAACAAAGCCATACCAAAAACCATGCAGTCAAAATAAATTCCTGATACCAGGTTAAGACTAAGCATGTGTTCAATGATTTCCTATGAATTTTTAAATAATTTATACTTTTGTCGATACTAGTTCAGTGCTTTCAAATAGCCGAAAGGTTTAGTTTTATATGATTGTCTTTAATTTTGTCTGTATGAACTCACATTATATTGTTTGTACACCCTGGCTTTCGGATTTCAAGCGTGCACATACACTTAAACGGTAAAAAAACAAACAAACAAACAAAAATAGCTTAAATATTCCATTTAAATTTTAACCAAATGAGTCCAGCACCCTTTGATAAGATTTGCAGGTGAATGAATCAATGTTTTCCTGATGACGTGTTTTCCCTACCTTATGTAAAATCATGTGTATAATAGTACAAGATAACAACAAAACAAAGTAATGACACTTACGAACAGAAGCATGAAGCTGACTGTCTGTGCCGGTAGCCTAACACGCATTATCACCGCTTCTTGCGTATTTCAAACATTATGCTTCATAACCTTCCAGTTTGAAAACCATTGCAGCTGAATTTAGCTTCATTACGCCGGAACCGGCCGCGATAATTAAATCCATTTTTAATTCCGCATTTTAATTCCCCCAGGTTCGATCTTATCGACAAAATAGACATACGTTTTTATCTAGAAACTCACTTTATTGTCCAAAAACTCGCTGGTATTCTAAGGCCCAGTTCCGACGTCGTGCTTCTGCCGTGCCGAACTAAATTGCAATTAGGTTCGACTCTAGCACAGCAGGAAAACAACTCTGATTCAGACTTCGTGACAGAGTCGAACCAAATTCAGGATATACTGATGCCTCGCAACAATTCTCCTCCTAACTCCCCGTGGGAACGCAATCCCGCCAAAATACATTAATTTAATTTAGGAATTCTGTTTAGCGCGGCAGAAGCACGACGTTTGAATCGTTACCGTTTGGCTGTAACTAAAAGTGGCACGGGGACTCGGGGACGTGGGACTCGGGAAGGTGGGGACTCGGGGACTCGGGGACTCGGGGACTCGGGGACTCGGGGACTCGGGGACGCGGTGACGCGGGGACGTGGGACGCCAGGACGTCGGGACTCGGGGACGCGCGGGGACTCGAGGACGTGGGATATAGGGACTTGAGGTCGTGATAAACAAACAACACCTGATTTTTGCGCTGAATTTGTAAAATACAATTTTCGGCGGCCAAGTGAAAGGTAATCTAATATGCTGGAGACTTTGTCAGCAGACCAGTAGTTGATGATTTCCAGCGCCCATGGTTTGGCCTTGCCTATTTTACCGTGAGAGTTCTGGGTACAAAATAGTTTCAACCTCGTGGGCAGCCATGGAGGACTTTCCTGGTGAGTAACTGTGTTTTCTTGTCAATCCTTGAACATCCGTGCCGTATCCATGCCAATTTTGACGCTGATGTTTACTTCAGGAAAACCGTTAATCCTCAAGTCCCTACGTCCCACGTCCTCGAGTCCCCGAGTCCCCACGTCCCCGAGTCTCCGAGTCCCCATGTCCTCACGTTCCCACGCCACCGATTCCAACGTCTCCGAGTCCCACGTCCCCGAGTCTCAAGTCTCCGAGTCCCAAGTCCCACGTCCCAGTCTCCAAATCTCCGCCCCACTTTTAGCCACAGCCCTGCCGTGCCAGAGTCGTGTGGCACGGCAGAGCTTGTCGAACTTAATTGCTTGCCGAACTTAATTCAAAAGTTTGATTCAGACGCCGTGCTTCTGCCGTACTTTTGTCGAACTTAATTCCTGAATTTAGTTCGGCACGGCAGAAGCACGGCGTCTGAACTGGGCCTAACCGCTTTATAATACTTTATCGCGATTTATTTCCGCGGGAACATCGCGAATATACATGGAAGGCACAAATGTTCGCAATTTCGCAAAAAGAGTTTACTGAGAAATTGAGAAAAAAATTTGCGGAAATCAAATGTGCTAGTTTCAAAAAATAAAGTAACATTTGGAATACTGCTTTTACAATGGTTTTCGGTTGTGTAAGCACCAACAGTTAGTGCGGTATGCCAAGACGCTAGCGTCCAACTGATGCGGTAGTTAACCTTGTAAATAGCGAGTTGATCCTGGAAGTCAACTGGGTATTGCACGGGTACCGCCGTTTACACGATTGTTTTTTACACTGGTTTCGAAAACCGAGTTTCTGGCGAACATTTCAGCACCAACCTGGAATTGCCAAGGGTATTATACAATTAATTCTTTCCCAAGGAAGTTTCTAACCTGGGAATATCAGAGGATTTTCAGTATAGTAATAGTAGTAATATTTTCTTCCACTTATGATGAAGCAATGTAGTCTCTCGCAATTCCTTAACACGTGTGCATATGGCTAGTCTCCTTACAGCACATTTTTTTCTATACCAGCCTTGTTGTAAAATCTGCAGGTGTACGAGTTGTTAAATCTGTTTTAGTCAGGGGGAGTCTTGGAGTGCCGCGAATTTAGTCAATATTTAGATTTGGAGATCATCTGATCATTTTAAATCTACCACGTTAGATAATTTTTTTTTTTTCTCATATCAATTATTTTTAACACCTTATTTTTGCGTTTCATGATCCGCTTTCTGTTGTTTAGTGGAGGCGCGGTGGCCTCGTGGTTAGTACGCCGAGCGGTACGGGTTCGAGCCCTGGCCGGGGACATTACGTTATGTTCTTGGGCAAGACACTTTACTCTCACAGTGCCTCTCTCCACCCAGGTGTATAAATGGGTACCGGCGAATTAATGCTGGGGGATGACCCTGCGATAGACTAGCATCCCATCCATGGGGGAGTGGAAATACTCTTAGTCGCTTTATGATACAGAAACAGGGATAGGCTCCGCTCTGTTGTTCTCCGTTGGCTCGTGTGCAGACTTTACCTTAATTTATGATCGTATGGAAAAAGTTTCAAAATTCCCGAAATTTCCAACTTAGCACGGATTGCGCCCCTGCGTCTGGCAAATAACAGTGATAACGTCTAATTACTTGACACAGCAGACGATCCATCAGAGTTAAAATGTTTTATTGTAAGCAATGCATGCACTTCAAACACAGATTATGTCTTCGATGTTTCAAGATATTTTATTCCGGTTGGCTTAAAAAAAATGCAATTTGTATTTTCGGTCGAAACTTGTCCTTTAATGAGAAATCAGTTCCAATCAGCGCTGAAAATTTTCAAAATTTCGAGTCGGGATTTTTCAGTCAAATTGAAGGCATCTTCTGTTCACCAGGAAGACGGCTTCACCTGCTAACAAAATAAAAAATCACAGAGATTCTAAATCACGCTCAAAGGCTCTGAGAAAATAGCTAACACCTGAAACATATTTAGAAACTATTCAAAACACATTAAAACTATTTGAAAATATTTATTACAACGGTTGACGCTCTTTCGAGACGTCATGTAGGTTTTTTTCAATACTGCCTCCTTGTAGCCGAAACAAAAACTCTAATTGACAAAAAAAAAATAAAGGAAAATTCATTTCCTATACACAGGAAAGGAAATTTTGAACCATTTCTCGTCCTAAAAATTATCGCCTTAGGTCATTTTTGCATTAATTCGTAAGTGTGTACTGCTTTCTAATGTCGGTCTCCTCAGCGTGGTGGAAAAACACAATAAATCTAAACACTTCGACACCTGCAAATACGAACAGACAACATTTATGGGACCGATTCAGCAATCAGCTGGCATTTAGAAAATAATCTTTGAGTATCTGTCAAGCATCTTGACGTGATTTCCGAAGGCGGGTTGAATTAAACATGGGCCATACTTACTTTCATTTCATGTGAAAGGTGCACATAAAAAACACAAACACACAAAAAGGCAGATGTCGGAGAGGGAGGATCACATCCGTATGATTTTCCTTAAAAGAACGTATTTGAAAAACTTAGCACGATTTTACAAGACTACCATAGTAGACAGAAAGGTGAAAATTGATGTTTTCTAATTCATATACCGCTTTTTCTAAATTTTTGCCTAAAAGATCTTTTATCACCGTAAATGCAGTTTCGATTAAGTAAAATCAAGAATGCGAGTCATAAAGTTTTTATCTTCGTCTTCTTATTTATTCTCTAAAATTATTGAAAAGCGAAATAATAAAACATGGAAAAAGCCGTTAATGAACTGGGCGCGATTTCTTCGGCGTACTCAGTATTTTGCGAAATGTTCAATTTCACTGCACGTACTAGTAAATTAAGGAAGAAAAATTACCAGACAGTTTATTTCCATAGTTGAGCGCTGATCACGACGAAACCTTCCGTTATCTCTTTCTTTTTGCAGGATCGTACAGGATAAACTGTGAATGAGAAAATTATTTCCCGGATTGTGAAAACCATTTCCATCGAAGGTATGAGCTTTTGCTATTCGTGTAGAAGATTTTGAATTGTTCGCGAAAATAACGAGGTAAACATGCTTATGGTGATCTTTTAGTCTGGGGTTTTTAATTCTCTCTTTTCTTTTTGACTGAAATTCAAAAAAACGTAATCTCTTGTAATTCTCTTTTTCCGTTTTCCTTTCCTCTATTTTTATTTTTATTTATTTTTTATTTTTTTATTTTTTGCTCACTGTAAATTGCTGTATTTTACACACTTAAAACACATATCTTATTGCAATCTCGGTAATTGCGGATCATTTCATCATCAAGATTGTGAACCAATATTTCATACCAGGAGCCATAATCGGGGACGGAGTCCCCGATTATGGCTCCTGTTCATACTCAAGAACCTCTTGAAAGTATACAACAATTGGTTAAAAACACTAATCGTAAGAGTTTTGAGAATAAGAAAAGATTTTGACCGAAGATATACTTAAACTTAGAATCATAAAAGAATTATTAACAGGAAGAAATCCGGCTCTTTGTCAAGAACGTCGTAGTTGTAGGCACGAGTAACGAGGGCCGGCTTACAAAAAAGGCAGAGTTTAAATTTACATCGACTTGTCAGTAACTAATTGGTGAGGCCAGAAGCAATCGCTCAGGAAAGATTTTATGAGCTTCTACTCGATATTAAATAGTCCAGATTAGTTTCTTACCCATACACTACAATTACGTTTAATGTAAAGGTGAAATGGGGCACAAAACGTGTTTAATTCTAATCATATATGAATGGCGGTTAATGAATTGTTTTTTTTTTTATTTTTTCAATTCTCACTTGGACTGTCAAACTAAGGAAAAACTGAGCCAGGTGTTGTCCTTCCAATAACATGTTCCGACCAAACTATGCAATTAGTTCTACGAAAAAGTAATTAATTATAAACGTATGTTTAAAAAAAAGACAGCAACAACAACAACGATTTTTGACTTTTACGTCGCCTATTACGGCCTGGATTGATTAGCAGACACGTATAAACGATAAAGATGGCCAAACGCTGAAGGGAACGTGCAACTTAGTCTGCTTCGTTCCCAGTCGCCGCTGTGTTTCGTCCTTGAAGAGCACTAAACAATGAGTGTGGTGCTTTATGGTTACGTTGCGGGTGCAACAGGCTCACAACACCACGGGCACCGCGCTCCAACCAAAGAGGGGCGCCTGGGGACGAAGCAGAACTAGGAAATTATGTTAAATGTCCAGGGCTAGCTGCTACTTATTGCCTATACAGTAGGTACATCAATGAATGATGACGTGAAAAGCAAGCTATTTCTCTAGATGTTTTTTTAGTATATATAATCCTGTACCATTTAACTTGTGATCTGATTGGATAAACTGATGCCATGTGTCGAAAGATGGTCGGCCCTAGGAGGGCGCTCAGATTTCCAAGCTTCAAATGCGGAAGAGCAAATAATAACTACTTAATAACCGAGAGTGAGGTCGTTACGGGAAAATCTCAAACTGAGGCCTTGCCGTATTGACCGAGCGACAGCGAGGTCAATACGGTAGGCCGAGGTTTGAGATTTTCCAGTAACGACCGAACGGTCGAGGTTATTAAGAGGCGCCATCTGTAATTTTCAACTATGGCCATTTGGACCAGAAAAAATCAAATTCCTCAAACTTTCTCAGATGAATGG